TATTGTCCCAAGCCATTCATCCACTTCTATAGCCATTTTCAAGGGTATTTTGTCTCTGGTGTTATTTTTCCTCATGTTTTGAATTTATTCTTTGTTGTTTTTGAATAAGAGCGTTCATTCCGAGCCTTCGCTTGTTGTGCGGTGCTTGATCTCACGCGAGCATCTTCCTATTTAAAAAAAGAAAAGAAAAAAAAGCAAGCTTTTAATACGCCATTTCCACTGTTAAATAACGTGAGGTTGATCGGAGGCGCAAAATATTCGATATACACGACATCTCTAATAGCGGATGTTTCTTATAATATGATTTATATAGAATTCTACTATTTTCGGCCTGAATTTTTCTTCAATGTTCTTGTAAATTATGGGTGGATAGATTTTTTTATAGCACTTTAGTCTCGTAAGTGTCACGTATGGCGTCTACTCAAAGAAGTGATAGTATTTCCGATAGAGATAATTGATTTCCGATAGAGATAATTGATTTGTGACAAGAAACACGGTGTTGTACTGGGCAGTGAAAATGATGCACCATATTTATATATATATATATATATATATATTATGAAATGGACAAAGTACGACAATTATTTTAAGACATTTTTATGTTTATACTTTCTTTTAATAGATAGATATATTTAAGTAAATGCTCTGTTTATAATAAACAGTATTAACGATATTTACCGGCCTGAATGCCCGAGAAATTTTCATAGAAAATACGCGTCCTCCGACAGGAATCGAACCTGTATCCTATACCGAACCATCATATAGCCTGACGTGCTTTTACCGATTGAGCCACAGAGGAGCGTTTCGGTTAGTAAGGTCGATTTTACTCTTTTTAAACTACAGTTCTCCGTGATTCACAGTGAACCAACCTTCTTAGCAGCAGGCCTAGCAGTCAAATCATTATAATGACTTCCACTTTTGCTGGAAAATGTGAATCCAAGAAGGCACAACGAGTTGTTTGCTTGAGGGTTAACTTGCTGATGGAGGGGGGGGGAAACGGCTCTCTATAATGATTAAAAGATAGCAATTTCATTTTGGAAGCATTTACAAATCATTTCTTGCTCCATTTAACAATTGGAAGTCATTTTCAAGTGCAGCTGCCAGTTTTACTTCGTTTGAGCTATCAGACTTCCTATTGTGACATGAGTAAATAGTTGTGTCATCAGTATAAATACATAGTTTAGGTACTGATGACACTGGAAAGATCGTTGAAGATAAGAAACATTGTAGGTCCAAGGAAAGAGATTGGCATTAATGTGAAATGGTCTAGAAGTGTAGCCATTTATGGATTTGTTAAGAATGATTGAAGTCTAAATATCCGACTAGAGATACCATAGACTTGAGCTTGTGGCGAAAGCTAACATGCCAGACCCTGCCAAATACCTTTGAGATATCTACAGTCACAGCCCAACCCTTGTTCTTATCTAAAGTGTGATAGAAAAAATTAATAACAACTGTTAACACATCACCAGTTGACCTAGAGAAACAAAAGCCATATTGTTTATCTGAACAGAAGGTTGTGTGTGAAATGAGATGCTTAACCAATTCAGAGTTGATTAGAGCCTCTAGTACAGTACCAAAAACGGTAATGGATTATTAGACCAATAATTCAAGAAATCAAAAGACCTGAACTACAGGATTTTCAACAAGCTGGAAAGCAAGAAGCAGCAATGAATTTGTTTTAGAATTTGGAGAGAAGGCGAGCACATTTCTTTATGACCATTCAGGGATATCATTGAGTCTGCAAGCCTTTTAGGAATATAGTTTGGAGAGCAGAAATCATGGATGGAGTTATGTTCATCTTATTGAGTACACATTCCAATCTATAAGAAACATCAGGCAAGAGTCGAGAGTGGTGTTGGAAGAGTATACACACGTATATATATATATATATATATATATATATATATATATATATATATATATATATATATATATATAAAAAAAAGGCTTAAACACTAATATTCCATGGTCATAATTTATTCCATTGGAATCGTAAATACGATCCAATTCATCAGACCACACAAATTCCAAAAGAAAACAGAAAAAACAACCCCGGAAATAAAAAAAAGGATTTAGAGAGAGTGTAAGTATGAGGAGGAGGGAGATTAAACCTTAACAGAGAGAATTTTAGGAGAGGTGGGTGGAAGGGGTTTAAGTAAGAGAAAAATGAATGTTGTCGGATGTCTAATGCATAAAGATACATTTCGTGGTGACATACACACACCATAGAAAATCTAATGTTAGAATAAGAGGGAGAGAGAGACGAGGTGGGGGAGAGAGATGGGACGAAGGACAGTAAAATTGAACGGCGTGCCGCTTTGTAATTGAGAAAATTTGACAAATTTAATATCTACTACAGATTACAAATCAAATATAAACATAAAAATAAATATAACGATTATCTAATCGGGCAAGGACCTATATTTTTATGTTCAAGAACACATGCGAATACACACATACACAATAACATATACACGTATATACACATAGGCGTGTACCCACATACACACACATATATATACCCATGTACACACATATAAAAATATATTCACATATCTACATCATACATATATTCATGTATATCCATATACACACACTTTTCACATACATATACGTACATACACATGCGCACATGCATATACCCATCTATACACACACACGCACACACACACACACACACACACACATATATATATATATATATATATATATATACACACACAAACATATACATATATAGATATATATATTCATATATATAGTGTGGCTGTCTGTGGTCTGGTGTCGTGTTTCTCTGGAGAGGGTGTTTGGTGCGAATTTATGTATATATTTAGTACATAAGTAACACTAAGTAATATAAAACTTTTATGTGCGTGGGTGTAAGCATAAGACTGTATCAAGTTGATAGCATCAACACCCATATATATATATATATATATATATATATAGATAGATAGATAGATATTGATATTGATAATAGTGGTCGATATATATATATATATATATATATATATATATATATATCGAAGAGATATAGAAACCATGTAGAAACCATAAAACTCAGTGTCCATGTAAGTAATTCCAAGGAATATATATATATATATATATAGTGGTAAATATGCACATACATATGCAAAATATATAAATATACATACATACATACACGTACATATTTTTATTCCCGGTTGTTTTTTTTTTTTTTTTTTTGAATTTGTAGGTCTGATGAATTGGATCATATTTACGATTCCAATGGAATAAATTATGACCATGGAATATTGGTGTTTAAGCCTTTTTTATTATTATATATATATATATATATATATATATATATATATATATATATATATATATATATATAAAGAAATATAGTTTAAGGTGTGCTTATGGGATAAAGTACTCAATATCAGAGCTAGAGCGTACGTAAATATAAATATAAAAGTGAACATTGAAGCTATGAATCATGGTACACGGAACAGCCTGTCGCCTCTGAGTGTTGACTTCAGTGTTCATTTATATATATATATATATATATATATATATATATATATATATATATATAGAGAGAGAGAGAGAGAGAGAGAGAGAGAGAGTAACATTTCTTTCAAACATCTTTCATTAAATACGGCCGCCAAGGAAGTTTAATTTTTTAATACGCCATTTCCACTGTTAAATAACGTGAGGTTGATAGGAGGCGCAAAATATTCGATATACACGACATCTCTAATAGCGGAATGTTTCTTATAATATGATTTATATAGAATTCTAATATTTTCGGCCTGAATTTTTCTTTAAGGTTCTTGTAAATTATGGGTTGATAGATTTTTTTATAGCACTTTAGTCTCGTAAGTGTCACGTATGGCGTCTACTCAAAGAAGTGATAGTATTTCCGATATAGATAATTGATTTCCGATAGAGATAATTGATTTCCGATAGAGATAATTGATTTGTGACAAGAAACACGGTGTTGTACTGGGCAGTGAAATTGATGCACCATATATATATATATATATATATATATATTATGAAATGGACAAAGTCCGACAATTATTTTAAGACATATTTTATGTTTATACGTTCTTTTAATAGATAGATATATTTAAGTAAATGCTCTGTTTATAATAAACAGTATTAACGACATTTACCGGGCTGAATGTCCGAGAAATTTTCATAGAAAATATGCGTCCTCCGACAGAAATTGAACCTGTATCCTATACGGAACCATCATATAACCTGACGTGCTTTTACCGATTGAGCCACAGAGAAGCGTTTCGGTTAGCAAGGTCGATTTTACTGTTTTTAAATTACATTTCTCCATGATTCTCTCTCTTATTCATATCTGCTCGATGCGTATCCACATGTAAACAAATGACGTCACACATTATGAAATGGACAATGTCCGACAATTAATTTAAGACATTTTTTTATGTTTATATGTTATACATATCTTAATATATATATATATATATATATATATATATATATATATATATATATATATATATATTATATTAAAAAAACAAACGACGTGCGTTTTAACGGATGTCAAAGTTCGTTGAAAAATTCACCCCTACCCTCCCCAAACTTAACCTCTTTTTCGAAGGTAACTCATAATTGATACAACAATAATTAATAAAAGTGAACACGCTACCACCCCTGTCTGAATGATTGGATATCTCTGTATCATTGGGAACAGTAAATTACGAATTATATGCGCGTTTAAAACTCAGTAAATTTAAAAATTATTCCAAAATTCGATTGAAAATGAAACAGAACTAATGCTTTTAATTTAATTATATAATTAAATTTAAAGTTTTCAGCTTCAGTTTTTGAAACATGGTTACTACTGTGTTGCGAAGAAAGCATATTTTAAATCAGTTAATTTATAATATTTATGCTGTGTAAATTTACATTGAATACTGTTTTGTAAAAATAAAAATAAAAATATCAATAAGAACACCGGATTATATATCTTACTCTTCTTTCTTTTTTATTATAATATGTATCTATCTATCTATCTATCTATCTATCTATCTATCTATCTATATACATATATATGGGTCGGGCTCAGTGGGTTAGGACGTTAAGACCCTGGTTAGAATCTCATTTATTCAACAGGTGACTTCTGGATAATATTTTAATCCTTAGGTATCGTATATTGTGGGAGGTTTCAAGATATGAGTAATGTTAATTGTTCATTCGACTTTATTCTTGTCGGACATATTTAACTAAGTTCAAACTTAACAGAGAATAACTCCCCACTACGTAACCTACCTTAACTCAAGTATCTGCGACTAACCCTACACCCGACCATTGCGCTCTTAAATTTCCTTCTCTAAGGGGTGGGAAGAGACGATAATGGAAAGAGACGGGATCATTTTAAGTTAATTCATAAGATAACAATGTACTCCTAAAGATCTAGAAATCCTCTGGTTTAATTCATTAATTTTTCTTTTAATTTTGTTTTTTTCAGGTAACTTAAGCCCCGGAAACCAATTGTAATGCAAATTTCCATTCTAGTGTAAATTTGCATATTTATTTCGAAAATATCAATAAGAATTTACGGAAGAAAACCGTTTAGTAGTTATCGACAATATAATTCTACCTCGTTCGGTTACAGAACAGCTGCCATTACTGGCTGTGTTTACATACATTTTTTTGTTTTTAGTCACCTCCTCCACGAGATCATGTTGTGACACAAGGTCGGTTTAATGTAGGGAGCTCGAGCGCGTACACCCGGGCTAGGAACAAAAATTGCTCGCAACTGACTGGCTTAGGCGCGAGCATCGATCCCTCTCTCTGGTGCAATGAGCAGCTGTTCCCCAGGGCTGAGCACCTCTCAGTATAATTTTCCTCAGTTTTGACTCTGTCCTTTGACGGGACCGCCCCTGACCGCACTCTGTCCAAAGAGACGCAACTGATAGATGATAAATAGGGTGTTACAAACTACATGAGAGTAATTTACACATTTTTTTTTTGTTTATATACATTTGCCTCGAAAGTTTCACTTGCCTTGATTATTGCGCAATGCGTGAATTTTAATTAAATTTCATGAATTGCGTAGTAATCAAGACGAGTATGAAGATAAAAAGAGATCAGTAAAAAGGCCTTTAACTATGTAAGCTTCCACGCATTATTACTCGAGTCAAACGTATATAAACAATGCCAGTAATGGCAGCCGGGCTAGACGTGAATAAGGCCGAATTTATATTGTCGATAACTTCTAAACGATTTTATTTCGCAAATGTTTATTATTATTTTGCAACTAATCAGGCAATTTCACAACGGAATGGAAATTTTTTATTACAATTGGCTTCCGGGGCTTAATTTGCAGATTTACCGTTTTTTCCTGTTTAGGATTGAGTTTCCAGTTTACTTCTTCTGAAAACTTAATAAGGGTGGCTGTCATGAAGTTTTGGTGATATTACTGGCTGGTCGCCACGACTCTTCATACTGAGGCTAGCAGGTTGGCAGTTTTCTGGTTGCTGCTTCCCGACTGGTAGCTCTGAGCTCGAACACTTGGGTTGCGCCTAGAGTGGCTGCTCTGATCAACAGTCGGATAATATCAGGGTTATTGCAGTGCCATGTCTACAAGCACTTCCTGTGGGCAACCCTGAGGCCACACATATGCTGCAATCTACGCCATATTCCTTTATTCTCCTTTTCATCATTTCTCCTCGCTAGAGTATTGCCATTCTATTTCACCCCCAGTAACCCCCCACTGCGAGCTAGTGGCATTGTAGCCATCTTATATTTCAGAAACCTGTTCTTATATTGCTCTTTTCTACACTTCTCGTCGCTAAAGTCTTGTCAATCTCTTTCACTCCCTGTAAGCCCTTGCATTGTCACCATTTTCTATCTTCCTGAACCAAGTTCTTTTATTGTCCTTTTCATCACGCCTCCTCACTAAAGTTAGTATATATATTGATTGTAATGTAGAATGTGTCCCCCACTTTATATCCATGTCTCACATTCGTGCCAAATCTCTGTGAATAATCTTCCAGTTCATTCAGTGAAATTTTCTTCTTTTGCCTAAGATGCCACTTTGAAAGTGAAAAGATCTTTGGTTGTTATGATCTGTTCATACCATTTCAATTGACGCTGGTTATGCGGTCTTTTGATCAGCCTGTTCCTCATCTGATGGGAAGTGGTCTAATAGGGGACGGAAAGTGCGGCACTAAGATCCGAAGACGTATCTGGATGAACAAAGATGCATTCCAAAAGCTAAGCACAGTGCATACGGCCGCGCGAATGGTAATGGATGCGAGGCTGCACGACTGTATCAGACTGCGTTTCCGGGCCGAAGGCGGCCGAGCCAACATTTGCTGCTGTTTATCGTCGCGTTACTGACACAGGAGCCGTGGCACCACAAACTATGGATCGACGAACACCGAGATCCTCTCGTACACCTGACCACGTATTGTATCTGGGATTGTACATTTATCAGTGTCTACCGTAAACTCTAAACTTAATTCAAATATTAGAAAACAACCAATACACACACACACACACAAACACACACGCATATATATATATAATTATATTTATATATATGCATGTATATATATATATATATATATATATATATATATATACACATGCATATATATATATATATATATGTGTGTGTGTGTGTATGTGCGTGTTTACGTATGCCTATGTATGTATGCCTATATGCATAAGTGATGTTGTTGGTGGTTACAGGAAGTAGAATGAATAAAACAAAATAAATTAAACGACATGTTCGCCGGAAGTGAATTTTTGAAAATAGCGGTCGTAAAACTGTAAGTGTGATTCTCTCGTGTGGACAGTGGTAAGAAAAAATGGCGGAAAAAAAAATCCGTAAATAAAATCCGAACAAATGATAAAAAAAAAATAAGAAACATAAAACGAGATGTAAGAATTGAGAAAATTCAATCGTTTTGCCGGAAGTCAAACGGGAAAGCGAGGAAAGTTTTGCACAATAAAGGCATTATGTTATTTGCATAAATTTGCATTTAGATAAAACGTGCCATCTACAGCCGCTTTTTCTATTGTAGTCAAAGATTTTGTTCTTTTCTTACACTGTAATAAAAAAAAACAAAAAACAAAAAAAAACGGGAGTAAATTTTTGCTGCCCACAATTCATTTTTCTTTTCTTAAATGCATTCTTTTAAATTAGATTCGCCCCCTTTTTTTATGCTCTCCTCAAATAAGCCGTTGACAACTGTTGCCGACCATTGCGCGTGTTTTTCTGCTTTCTTCCTTCTGCTTTGTTTTCTGATTCTTTTTCATTTATTTTTGGGGTAGAATCTCAAGATAATTTATTCTTACAATGCAATTTTTTTTATAATTTTATCAATGTTTTTTTTATCTATCTATCTATCTATGTATCTATCTATCTATATATATATATATATATATCACGGTCTCACGGTGTGTACATATCTATCTATCTATCTATCTATCTATCTGTCTGTTTCTGTCTGTTCATATCTATCTAATTCTAGCCATCACTATCTATCTATCTATCTATCTATCTATCTATCTATCTATCTATCTATCTATCACGGTCTGTTCATATCTATCTATCTATCTATCTATCTATCTATCTGTTTCTGTCTGTTCATATCTATCTAATTCTATCTATCTATCTATCTATTAAATTCTGTTAGTTTTAATGACTTATGTTCATAAAACATATACTCAACTATACTCATGCATACACGCACACACACGCAAAAACACACCCAGATATATATTCGTATTTGTGTGTATCGGTGTTTTTCTGTGTGTTTCGGCAGCTGTAACTCCCAACATGTTTCAGCAATGTTTAATTTGAAAGGAGCACAATGAAAACTAATCAACATGATATATCTAAATTATTTAACCAAGCCTGTTTGAATTAAAATATGCTGACTAAATATGCAACATATATATATATATATATATATATATATATAGTTTATGAAGAGCTAGCTAATCCGTATGGGTAAACCCAAGGAGGATAAAATCCAGAGCGCTCAATGTAAATCCAGAGCAAATAATTTAAATAAGAAACAGACCACTTTAAGGTTCCATGTAATAAATTATTTCACCACAGCCCTTTTAAAGGACTGCGGATCATCAGACTTTACTTCTAAACAAAAGATGAAAAGAAAATTTACACATTTTTGACGGGCCGTATTAAACATATGTAAATTAACGAAGTGAGGAAGTGAGGGGGGAGAGAGAGAAGACATGAGTGTGTTAGCAGATATTGACATATTTAAACGGTTAACTTAACGGAAGTTATATATTGATATCGAAGGGGTAGAGAAGAAAAACACATAGAGAGAAAAAGAGAGAAGGAAGTCATGAGAGAAGGTGTCACTAATTTTCTTTGTAAAAAAAAACTAGAAACAGACGCTGTTATTTTGTTTTACTTTGAAAGTGTTATTTTGGGGGTTCATAAAGATTATAATGTTTGATATAAATTTTAATGTCTCTAGACTGTCTACAAATAATTTAATTTGATGTTTGTTAGTGATTTAATTTTTTTTAAATTTTGGGGATTTTCTATGAAATAGTCGATTAGAAAAATATTCACAGAAAGTACATTAAAAGAATAAAATTTTATTTTAAGATATAAGTTTACTTCCAGTAATCTTTTTTAATCTCTTAAAAAAAATTATTATTGATTATTAAGTTGACACCTCTATCCGTTTGAATTTTGTTCATGAATTTAACTCGTGACTGTTTCTTTTACTGAAATTTTAGTTAAGTTAATATGGGGTAATATTTGAAGGTAATATTAAAGTTCTTGCTCTCTCATATACTGTATACACACCCATGCAAATATCACATATACACACGTATATATATATATATATATATATATATATATATATATATATATATATATATATATAAAATATACTAATAGTAATACTCTTTTGGAAAAAAAACTCAGCTCAACTTGTAAAACTCGGCTCAACTTGTAAAACAAATCGGTACCCGAGGAAAAAATTGGAAATAAAAAAGAAAGAACTAGAAACTTCTGAACCGAAAGAAATAAATCGTCCAGCGCCTTAAGTCTTTAGTCCAAAGAAAAAAAAAAACCTAAGCGAGTATTAAGACTAAAACGTAGAGTGCTCAATAAGGTAAGTAGAGCGGGAATAACTAAAATAAATCCTAAAGAGCCAAGAAAACCTACCTAGGTTTCACCTACAGGGATCTTCACGGTATGATATCTATCTATCTATCTATCTAGCTAGCTAGCTATCTATCTATATGAAGAAATATAGTCTTAAGATGTGCTATATTTATGGGATAAAGTGCTCAATATCAGAGATAGAGCGTGTAAATATAAAAGTGACATCTATCTATCTATCTAGCTAGCTAGCTAGCTAGCTATCTATATGAAGAAATATAGTCTTAAGATGTGCTATATTTATGGGATAAAGTGCTCAATATCAGAGATAGAGCGTGTAAATATAAAAGTGGACATAGAAGTCAACACTTAGAGGCGACAGTCTGTTTCATGCTAGATGCAATCGTCAGGCCGCCCTGACGATTAATTATTAAGACTTGTATAAGTAAACGCTTATTATCTCCAAACAAGAAGAATTCTTAAAATCTAGAAATATTTTCAGGCTTTGCGGCCTGACGATTGGATCTAGCATGAAACAGACTGTCGCCTCTAAGTGTTGACTTCTATGTTCACTCATATATATATATATATTTCAAATATATATATATATATATATATATATATATATATATATATATTCACTTATATATATATATATATATATATATATATATATATATATATATATAACCCCTTTCTATGAATATTTTTCTAATCGACTATCTCATAGAAATTTTTAAAAAAATTTAAATCACTAACAAACATCAAATTAAATTATTTGTAGACAGTCTAGAGACCTTCAAATTTATATCAAACATCATAATTATCAGTTCATTATCTACCTATCTCAACATGTTCATATCTATCTATCTATCTATCTATCTATCTATCTATCTCAGTCTATTTATATGTATGTATGTATATATGTATGTATGTAAGTATCTATCTGTCTCACACTCAGTCAGTTCGTATTTGTCTCATTCGATTCATATCTATTTCAGTCTGTTCATATCTATCTATCTATCTATCTATCTATCTATCTATCTATCAGATCATTATCTATGTATCTCTCTATCTCAGCATGTTCATATCTATCTATCTATCTATCTATCTATCTATCTATCTATCTATCTATCTATCTATCTATCTGACGGTAGTTGACTGTTGGACGGAATAATAGTCACCTACGGATTTACTATTGGACGGACTGCAGTTGAGTACGAGTGTTGCTTATAAGTGGATTATTAGTTGATTACCGGTTGATTACCGAGTGACTATTGAGGGATTATTGGGTGGCTATTTGGGCGATAAGTCCTGCCGCGCTGCTAAAAAGATATTCCCTGAATCTGTTAATAAGTTTGATTGACTCTTCTTCTGTTTGTCTTACGTATTTATTTGCAATTTGTAATTAAATATTGTCTTATTTAACATTAAAGTTTGGAGTTGTACTTTATCATTAACAGTCACCCATCCGGTCATAAAACTGGGTCGCAATGTTAGTTTCTATACACATATGTCATGTAACTAAATATAAAAGACCTATGTAACTAATGAGTATTCCATTGATTGATTAATTTATTTTCTACGGTTTATCGGCTTCATTTAACCCGCAAATCCAGAAAATATTTTTAGATTTTACGAATACTACTTGTTTGGAGATAATAATGGTTTACTTATACAAGTCTTACTAATTAATCCATAGCTAGAAGGATAAGAGTTGGGTTCATGCCTTTCACAAGTATATTTGCGCGTAAGTGAAATATATCGAACCCAACTGGAATTGGAACTCGGCTCTCCGATTAACAATTCCGAGCCTTAATCCATTTCAGCCAATCCTAGGACACCTGGTATTGCAAAGCGCTCATCCATCAAGGCACTGGCCAGGATGGACGTTGCTTAACTTCTTTGAGAACCGGTGCTACAACGTGATGTGTCTGTAAGCCGATACATATGGAGGAAGCTGCCACCCTGAGATCATAACTGGTTATGGGACTGGTGATGAGGATCTTCGTGATTTTGAATTTCTCGTAGTCTTTTTAGACTGGATGGCTTATCAAGGATAGCGATCTTGCATTTTGAACACTGTCACTTGTGGAAAAATATGCAGTAATAGTAATTATGATAGTAATATTAGCCTCCTTATAAGGAAACATTCGGCATTATTGATCGAGCAGTCAATTCTACTCGAGCCAGTCGTGTAATACTCTTCTGTTGTTCAATACACGATTTATCTGCAACCTCTTGTTTTGTTATTTCTTAACCATTTATTTGGTTACAACAAACTATTAAACTAAAAATGAGTTATGTATACAACTGACAGTTTAGATATTTCCGAACGAGTTTGGCTTTCATATGAAAGTCTCGATCTGACGAGGTTTTTTAAGAATATAGCTCGGCATTTAAGGTTAATGTTTTTGGTTTTGAAGCTAGATAAAATAAAATAATGATTTATTTTATCTTCAACATCATCACTTGATAAGACACCTAGGGGGGGGGAACAAAATGGCTATTTTTGTAGTGATTTTATAACATATTTATGTTATAAATTTTTTTTTTATAAAAAATAATTATATCTGCTCTACTTTGTATTGAGCACTCTTTTAAGAATAGTAATTGTTGGTTATTGGAATTCATTCCGTATACACCAATTATATACTTGTCTCTCAGTCACTGGGTGTTTATCTAAAAATAATTATACTTAAAATTCACCTTCATCCCTGCGGCGGCTTAGTGGTAGAATCCCCGACTGACGCCAATTCAATCGGGTTTCGATCCTAGCTAGGAGCAACCGGATGTCTAGCCACACTGATGAGCTGTGATACAGCGAAACAGTCTGTCTGTGGATGACAATATATATTTATATATATATATATATATAATATAAATATATATATGATTTCATCGCGACACAGAAATTACTATGTTTCGAGACTGGTCAGCAGTATTCAGGTTTAACTCTGATTGATGTTGTAGTTTTTGGTGTTTATTTTTATTGTTTTTTTTTTTGATGATTTCTTAAAGGGGCTTTAAACCCCTTTACATCAATCAGTTAGTTTTAGCAGGGAGTCAGATAAGATTAGTCATTGTAGCCAGACAAAAAAACAAAACAAAACAAAACAAAACAAAAAAAAAAAACGCAACCTGACACGACTCCAAAAACTTGGCATATAACAAATATCCCTACTTCCATCAAAGCAGGGACTCCTTGATAATGAAACACAAACCCGAGATCACACCCCCATTTCAAAACTATAAATGAGTAAAACATTCCGTGCCATAGTTATTCCAGACATCGCCTGAGGATGAGACTGGCACTGAGTAGTTAGGGTTTAATATTGAAATTAAACCTGAATACTGCTGATCAATTTCGAAACATAGTAATTTCTGTGTCGCGATGGAATCATATTTAAAAAAAATAATTATAATCTAGGCTCTACTTCTGTATCGAGCACTGTTTTTTAAAAATCAAAACAAAAATATTAAAGAACTTCGGATCATCAATTTCTTTCCTATTATAAAAATACACACATGCACACACACACACACACACACACATATATATATATATATATATATATATGGTTGATGCTAACCTCCAGTGAAGTGATTCATTTCGCCTTCACAGACTAATGTTTTTAGCTAACAAGAAGTGGGAAGATTATATTGAATCAATCATTAAATCTGCAGCTAAGAATGTTAATCCACTATATCCTGCTAGACAATTTATTCTCTTCAGAATCTATCTTACATATCTATAAGCCTACCATTCGTCTTTGAATATTGCTGCCGCATCTGATCTGGTGCTCCTGCTATATATTTAGAGATTCTTGATAAAATCGCAAGAAGATTCTGCAACGTTATTTGTCGTGACCTGGCATCTCGGCTTCAGGTTTTTTCCGTCGCTGAAACGCAGCTACCACGTGCCTTTTTTTGTAAATACTTTCATGGGAATTGTTCGGTTGAACTTTTTGTTATGGTAACTAGACTTTATGAATTTAAGCACAGTATTTGACTGGCGGCATGTTCTCATCATTTTACAGATTTAAAAAAAAATCACAAATCGGTTCCGGCGAGAGGAAGCGGCTGTATACAGCTGATAATTTAGATATTTCTGTAAACACACTACAGAGAGATTACCCAGAATGTTAATGAATCTAGGAAAGAATTGAGTTAGAAAGATCGTGTTACGCCAGTCTTCCAATGTGTGTCCAATCTAGATTGAAAATCAGCCTTTAAATTCTTGGTAATTGTGCTTGCATTGCGACTACGGGCGCTTTTATTTGTTTTTTTTTCAGTAAGGTTCGGCCTGTACAAAGGCTACTCATGTTAGAGTGTTCAGTTAAGGCGTAGTTTATATGGATAGGAAGGGAAGATAACGGTTAACAGTAGACTTGAACAGGTTAAGATTATAGTGATCGGGGAAATATCCTCTTGAGAGTCGGTTTCACAGTGCCGTGGTACGCGGGAAAAAGCTGTTCGAGTGGAAGTTACTTCTCACCAATGTTACACGGAGGAAATGTGGGTGTCACGGTGGGTCCTAGCCGTGAAGATTAGAGGATTAAGATTGTAGTTATCGGGGAAACATACGGTCCCACAGAGCCGTGGTTCGCTGGAAAAAAAGGTGTTCAAATGGAAGTTACTTCTCACCAATGGTGTGTGGAGGTAATGTGGGGTGTTTGCTATAATGTAAGTGATAGTGTGGGTTTTAGCTGTGAACGTTACACCTAGCGGAACCAAAGAATGTTGTTCGTCCGAGCACTTTCCATAGAAATAGCAATATTATTTTCGGAACACGGTCAGCACGCTGTGGCCGTATTCATATTTGATATTACTGCTTCTTCTTTTTTTTTTCATGTGGCAATTATAGTCGTATTTCCCACATGTATGCCCAGACTGCGAGCCCAGTTAAATATATGCATCTACTTCAGGAATTCTGACATGCTGTTTGCATTATTTTTATAACTATTTGTTGATGTTAATCTCTCCACTATCATTGGTAGCTTCCTCTGCGTACCATACACGCCCACTTATCAAATAAGGTATAATAACTTTTTTGCTTGTTTTTAAAATTATTCTTAATGGTCTTCCCACTGCTGAAGGATTATGATTAAGGATTAGCGAATTAAGTGATTAAATTCTTTGGAATCGGTAAAATTTAAAAGAAGTAAATAAAGTGCGGTAAATCTGCTGAAGACAAAAAAGAAGAGGTTTCTGGAAAGGATAGAAAGATTATAAGAATGAAAAATAAACGAATAAAATATGTGTTGAGGAAAGAAATTGAAGACGACAATGAAAAGTGCGAAACTAATGGAGACAAAGAAGAGAGGATGTGGAGGAAAAGGTTTAAGAAAAATGGCAGCTATAGAGAAAATAGAGGAAGACGACGGAGAAAAAAAGAGGGAAGATGGGGAACGAAAGAGAGAAGGAAGGGGGTGAAAGAAGAGGAGAAGAAAGAAAAGTAGATGAATTGAAGGAATGAGAAGAAAAAGAAGAGGAGAAGAAACGAAAGAAGAGGAGAAAAAAGGAAAGAAAAAAGACGTGTAGGAGAAAAACGTTTAGGATGGTGAGAAAACGAATAGATAAGAAGAGAGGAAAATAAGAAAGAAAAAAAAGAGATGATTAAAGGATCAGATGGGAAAGAAGAGGGGGAACTAAAAAAGAGAAGGGGGAACAAGAGGAGGGGGAGAAGAGGAGTCAATGAAAGAGCAAAAGACAAAGAAAATAATAGAATAGAAGAGGAAGAGGAAACGAAGAAAAGCAGAGGAGGAGGAAGAAAAAGAAAGAAAAGAAGAAAAGCCGAAAAGAGAAAGGAAACAAAAAGGAAGAGGAGGAAGGGAAGAATAGAAAGCGAAAGAGGAGGAGAAAGAAAAAGAAAGAAAAGAAGAAAAGCCGAAAAGAGAAAGGAAACAAAAAGGAAGAGGTGGAAGGGGAAGAATAGAAAGCGAAAGAGGAGGAGAAAGAAGAAGAAAGAAAAGAAGAATAGCCGAAAAGAGAAAGGAAACAAAAAGGAAGAGGAGGAAGGGGAAGAATAGAAAGGAAAAGAGGAGGAGAAAGAAGAAGAAAGAAAAGAAGAATAGCCGAAAAGAGAAAGGAAACAAAAAGGAAGAGGAGGAAGGGGAAGAATAGGAAGCGAAAGAGGAGGAGGAAGAAA